AGAAAACCATAAAGGTCAGAAATGAGTGTGGGAAAAATATTTTTTGAACAGATGAGAGGTATCTGCTGAGGACAATGCATGATTGTGTGTCTCCAGCCCACTGACCACTGGAGAAAGGGACTAGCCCCTGGCGTTCCTCCAAGAGTTTAAGTCATTCACTTAAACAGAGATTTGGAAGAAACACCAATGATTGACATCTCTTTGAGTGAACATGCTCAAACTTCACATAAGTTTGAGCATGTTTCACCTCATTGGAAAACCAAAACTTTGAACCAAAATATCTCTTTTGCAGTTTCCTCTTAATATTTATTAGGAGACAAATGTTATGAGGAAAGTAGGTATTTTGAGTCAAAATCAATAATAATAGCGGTGTTTATCCTCATGAAGCAGAAAACTTTGATCATTAAATAAATTCTGCAGCACAAGGATTCAGAGCTGACTCAGATGACAGTAAACTTTATGGGCTTAATTATGAAACAGCATTTGCATTGTTATTTTAAGTTGTAGAAGGTTGTGGTTTGCAGCCACTTTAATACTCTGTGAACATAGAGCAGAAAGGGGTTAATTAACTGGTCTTTGCACAGAAGCAAGGCCTTTGGCTTTGATGGACTTGCTGCTTGGACGAGGGGAAAACAACAGAGACGACAGTCGCTCATTTCTGGAGGCATTTTAATTGCTACGATGCAGAGCCAAGCTAAAAATGTCCCTGTTGGCTTTCAGCATGAGAATAAAATTAAACCTTCTCTCTGTAATCACTGGGAGTCAAAGTTTGAGAAAATTTTTTTTAGAATACTTCTGGTATGCATGACCCATTATATTCTACAAATTGGAGCTTGTCGGTTCTCTTGAGTTGAGAAGATTCAAAACTCAAGAGTTGGGGCAGTGTTTTTTTTCCCCCAGACTAGAGAAGTGACCACCTGTGTGAAAGTGGGTCCAGAGGATGCCATACTTTCTCTCTCCCTGTGCTGAAAACTTTATGTAAACAGTTCCACCTCATTGGGAAACCACAAAATAGTTAAATTCAAGACATTTGAAAGAACAACAGTCTCCCATTTATCAACTTCAAATATGTAAACCACTTCAGCTCACCCTCATTTCTGTCTCAGTTTCATACCTCCTGCATCTTAATCGCTCATACGTTCTCAACCAAAGCTTTGAACCAAAATTGTTTCTAAAAATATCAGGAAACAGACACCTACGGAAGTGAAGGATTGACAAATCCGTGTAGCCCGAACATTTCACAGAACTTGATTTTGCCTTCAATTTGTCCAACTTTGAGTTTGTCCAGGCACACTGTCAGAGTGACCAAGTGCGAGTCAAGCCAAGATGAACCAAAAATATTCTAAATCTGATTCTGAGATTCCCCTTTAAAACCATCGGTCTGCTGGATATAAGGACAATGGCTGAAGTGGGCTGAGTCTATAGCGTCAACCGCAGCATCAAAGTGCTGCCAAGCAAGTCTTTTTTGTGATGCTTTTACTGCTTCCAGTTCTGAGGTTTTCCCCCAAACCACTCATTTTAAGAACCACTTCTCACAAGACTCACAGCCATTCACAGAAATACATCCTGGTGGAAACAAACCATTCATGACTTTTATGATGGTTTCTAAGGAATGACACTTTTGCTATTTATATTTTCAGACTTGTCTGCAGATTTGAAGTCAAGCTTTAAAGGCAACACAATATTTAATTCTTCTGGATTCTAAAGCCATGGATCCATGTCCATAATAGTGTAGCTCTGACAAAACTATTATAAAAAGCAATAAATATTTTAGCTGTGCACACTGGCAATCATATAAATCAACATGTTTTCATGTCACAAATGTACAAACAGTATGATTTGTGGGAACAAAATAAATCACTGAAAATGTTTTTCTAGGTTCTAGAAGATCTCAAGCTAATTCACTTCATCAGAAATGAATTATCTCTCATTTCTGATGGAGAGAAATGTTTTCCAGCGAATGCATTTCATGAATTAATGAGAGTTTCCTGGAAGCATTAATAATAAAAAGAGGGATTGTGATACATCTCTAACATGATTATTGCCACAGATGTGGACTCGTTGAGGAACAACTCAAAATGTGACAATATTGTGAAAAAGTATTTTTGAGCTCATTTCCAAACGTGAAACTCACGTATTGATTCTTTACGCATATAATGGAACAATGCTATATATTTTTTATCTTGTAATTTTGATGATTTTGGCTTGCAGATACTGAAAATGCAAAATTCAATGCATCTTAAAATTAGAACTTTGCAGTGTCTTCCTTCTGAAAAATACCTTTATGCAAATGCACGAAATACCTGATGGGGCCTTCCTTTGTATACACTACTGCATCAATGTGGCCTGACAAGGAGGAGTTCAGTGTTCAGGTTATCTGAATGACAACATTGACAAAAGAAAAAATGTTGTCTCTCATTTTTCTTTTGAGAGACAAAAGCATTTTCTCTTTTGGGTTCAGGTCAGATTACTGTGTTTCATAGACAATTAAACACAGTAACTTCATGGTCATTGAAAACACTGTTGCAGTGCACAAATGATAAGTGCAAAGGTCCTCATTTAACTTTTTGTTAATATTCAAATTTTCTGAGAATTTGGGGGTTTTATGATATGTAAGCTATAATCACCAATATGACAAGAAATAGGGTCTGAAATTTTTGACTGTCTGAAATGAAGCTATATAATACATGAGTTCCGCTTTCTGAAATGAGTGACAAAAAATAATAAACGTTTCACAATGTGCTATTTCCTTTCTTTGTACTTGTATACGGTACTTTGAATCGCCAGTCAGCAGAAAAGCTAAACAGCAAAATGGCTTCAAATGTTGTTGTTTTGACGTTATGTTGCAAAATAACCCTGTGCACGCTTTGTCTTCATGGAATGCCGGCGAGTGATATCGTTTTAAATGAGGGACGACGTTGGTTTTCAGCACTGCCGCCAACAATATTCCCACAAACCTTCCTGTGGGACCAGAGCTTATTTCACTCTAAACACAAGTGTTTATTTTTCTGGCTCATTCAATGCTCCAGTCTCACAATGGCAACCAGGAAAACCTTGATAAGTCATTCCTTAAAGTTAGGTTTTCATTCTTCTTCAAGCACAAAAAAGAAGAAGAAAAAAAACTTTATATGTACAAGAAAGTTACACCTTAAAACAATGACATGTCAGGATGTTTCCAGAGGTAAAATGCTGGATCCTGTAATGGTAGAGAAGTTAAACCACAAGTTACAGTTTACACAGGAATCTCATTCTGGTGTTGTGTAATTGTCAACACAGTTTTTTAAATATAGAGTGAAAAAAATATCTGTACACAAAAAATTACATTTTCATGTGCAAGTAGTCTCAAAAAAATGAACCAAAATAAAAGCCAAGGTAAGAGCAAATAAGAGGGATTTAATTCTGTCTTTTATCATTTGAGATATTTTTGTTAGAATCCGCAAAAAATAACAGTCTCACTGGCATGCAAAAATATTTATGTCTCTAATGTTTTCACTCTTGTCAGATTACATCCACACATTTTAATGTATGAAGTCTTGTTTATGCTTTCACCACAACATTTTTCGCCACAACATTTTTTGTCCTTCTGGCAAAAAATGGCAGAAGACATGGTCATTTATTGTGATGTCAGGGGTTGTTCTGTACTTTCCAATTCCAGATAATATATTAAACATTGCTCCATGGAATTTTTCAAAGCTTGGAATATTGTTTTGTAACTAAACCCTGGCTGCAACGTTCCTTCAATTTCTGGATGTTGTTTAATCCCTGATGTTCCATAATAAATCTTTATATATTACTTATAGAACAGCTGAATTTAAACTCATAAAACCTACAGAGGTGAATTCCAATTAATAAATTATTACAAAAAGTGAGTTGTTGGCCTGGATTTTATCACAAGGAAACTAAATAGAGCTAGATAAATATCCACTTTTTTCATATTTTACATGTTTCTACATGTAAAATATATAAAAACTGTGTATATTTTTTTGACATGTCTTTCTTTACAGCTTTCTTTAAAGAAATGCCTTCTGAGGATTACCAAAACAATTCTTTAAACATTTACATTTTCTTCCTTTCTCATCTAAAATACTTGAGAAAATAGTTTTTAATCAAGTGTGTGAACATATTTTTTTAGAAGTTCTTGAACATATAGGTATGAAGGAACGAGACTGGTTTGAATCTGTGTAACAGACTCCAGTTCCAAAGACAAACTGGAATCTGTCAGGCTGTCTGCTCCGACATCAGCTCTTCTGTTTCCTTGTGTGTATCTGCTCCGTATTTTGAAACCTCCGGACTGTGGTGACGGACCGGAGCCCAATTCCTCTTTATCCTGTTAAAGAGGAATCTTTTCCTCTCTGGTGTTGCTACATGCATGCTGGGTACGAAGAACTGCTGTAAAGTTAACATCACAACGCAAGTGATTATCACTCCTCACTGCAATCTGCTGGGTTTTCTTCGGCAGATAAACTTTAAGCTAATTTGAATTGACTTTCAAACTGGTTGAAATGACTTGTCAAGTGTCACGAGACAACATTTCATCTCAATTGGTGCTACATACATAAATTGAATTGAAAATTGAAAATAAACTGAATTGAATTAAAGCTTTAAATACAAAATACTGAACATATTTCTGATTTTTTGTAGTGAAGTCTAAACAAATATTTAGTACTTGGTGGATAAAAAAATTTTTTTCGCATTTTTTCTGCTCTTTTCCTTCCCTCAAATTGTAAATTTTGAAGAAAAGAAAACTCAGTTTTGCAAACACCATCCATATATGAGTGAAACCAGTAATGGATTGTTGCAAAACTAAAACTGAAGTAAGCTGACACAGTGCCTTGCACAAAACCAATCTCTTGAGTTGCAAAACTGCATCCTGGGACACAGCATGCATGCCAAAAGACATTCATCTCCTGATGGAGCAAAAACTATTTATTCAAACTCCTTCTTGTGAAATTCCATACACAGGAAAGTTAGTGAATAAATACGAATGAAAGAAAAATACATTTGAGGGTGGAATACAGCTTTATTTAAAACTCTCAAGGTTGAAGACTGTAGACATACAGGCTACACCTAAGTAAAGATAATATGAACAACAGGTACAAAGTTGACAAACGTTATAAAGTATGAACACTTTAAAGAAAGATAAAACAAGACACTGACACCAGTTAAAACTCTTGGTTTGCTTGAATATAGTTTATTTATTTGACGCTTGTCTGGCTGTGTAATATGTTTGTTAAAAACAAGAAAGGGCAGAACCAAGCACCACAACCAATACCTGTTGTTGATTCATCATCTAAAGCCAGAATTCAGATCCCAAATTATGCCACAGTCAACTTTACTGTGTTAGACACAAGCTAGAAGGAAAGGCAGTGGGAACTGTTGTACCAAGTGACCAAACTAATAATAATTAGCTATAAAAGGTCAAAACAATACATTTTCTCTCATTTTGATCATTCAAACCATAGCAACATGTTCTTTAAGAGAGGTTGTACAGTATTGAGTGTGAGAGAAATTTAAAGAGTTACAATTTAGCATGCATGCAGCTAAACTTTTGATTACCACAGCTACCTCTGCCATGTTGGATTTTGAGGTCAGAATTGGCAAGAACATTTTTTTCATTGCAAGTCAGTATTCTGACTTCTGGGGGCATTAAAGTGGATAATTTCGGAGAATTCAGACTTTATCGTCCAAATGGAACAATAACTAGTACATGGGATTTTCTCCATCTTTACTTTTTTTCTCCATGTATTCTACCTCTAGCCAGAGGCCAGAGAAATTAGTAGTCTGCCTGATCTTACTTTCAATCCAGCAGTGATCTCCACAAAAGACTGGCCCAAAACCGGATTCCAAACCTTAATAAGAAAAAGAGAATTGGAGATTATGGGCCCATAAAATTTGAGCAGAGCAGTTTTACCATCTTTAAAAACCCATTTGAGTCCATCACTCATTATCACTACGACCACTCTGAAGACCAAACATGGCAATTGTCCTAGACCTGGTGCTGAATCAAACAGACAAGCCTGACTGGCTGAAACACAACTATGGAATTTGAATTATACAAACATAAAAGTATATACACTCACAATCATCTTTTATAAAGTCTCATAGCATTAGTAGATACAGTATTTGTGGCTCATAGTGGCAAGCAGATGTGATTGCACAGAATAACTTCAATAAAGCTGGCATTTCCAGCCTTGTACAAAGTGTATAGAAAATTTATGTCACGCATAAATAAAACAGCCTTTTCAAATGGCTGTCATGTCCTTCTTTGACGATTCGTAAAATAAAACAATAAAATTAAACAAATAAAGAAAAATTGGTGGTCAAATTTTCAACCAATGTCTTTAGCAATATAGTGGTAGCAGTGTGGTGCATTAAGTCGCACTGAACTGGAAGCTGTGAGCATCAGTAACTTTACCGCTGCAGTCCAATTTGTCCCACATGGGGAAATATAAACATGGAGCAAATACTCCCAACCTTTACAAATTAAAAGAGTCAGTTTTAATAAAGCATATATATATTAAAGAGCATAAAGCATGTCCATAGATGCATCTCAATGATTTATAATTTTATCAAACATCAACCTAGTTCAATATTTAAATGCAAAAAGTAAACCTTGTTTTATATAGATATATGATGCAAAATGCCACATTTAAAACCTGCAATTTTGTTAGCTTTGATGATTATAGCTTCTAGCTAAAAAAACAAAACAAAAAAATTTGTCTTAGAAAATGTAAATATTACTTGAGGCCAATAAGAAAATGTTAAATATGAAATGGTTATTTTCCAGTCATGTTGAGGCCAGGACAATCATGTGAGTGGTCAAGCAGACCAGGGTAAATCACAAAGCGTGATTGCTAAGATACTGGCCATTCAAACTGCAGTGTACAAGCTGAGTGGAAGAAAAAAAGTGCAGTTTAAGAAATGGGTGCATAAGCAACATGGTTGCTTGGATGACTGCAACCTTTAGAGGAAGAAAAGGTTTTGCAAGACCTTGGGGAGGAGAGTCACAAGGCATGGACTGTGGTTGGAGTCAGTGTCAGAGTCACCACTACATGGACTACGACGTTTCATTCCTGGTGTTAAAATACTCCTGAAGCAGATGTCAGAATTATCGCACCCAGGCTACAGAGAAAAATATTTTGGACTTAGTTTCTAAGTGCTCTAAAATTGATCCTAATATCACATTTTAGAGAATTTCATGCTTCTCTCTGCTGATGAGCTATGCAGAGATGCAGATTTGAATCACATGCAGGACCTGGCACCTACTCACACTGCCAGAAGTACTGATGCCTTCTTTAATTACCATAGTATTACTGAGCTGGATTGACCTGCAAGTTCTTACAAGTCCTATAGAGAAAATGTGAAGGATTTTCAGGTGGATGACTGAGACACATGGCTCAAGAATGTAAATGGGCTAAAGCAACCTGGGTTTCCTGACACCCAAGAAGCCCCATTCCTGCAAAATGAGCATTGACCAAATTATGCATACACTGTAGAATATGGGAACATCTGGACCAATGTGTGTTTGCTGTAATCATAAAAATCATCACTGTATGTGATGAATCCATACGAGGTTAGCTCCATGATCTGAATTACTTTGTTAAATGACCTGATCCAAGAATTTCAAAGTCATTGAGATGCACCTGTGTGCTTTAAAGCATCCGCCGTTCTTAAAGGTTTTGTTTCGTGTCACTGAAGGTAATCCTTTATTTTCAGTAAAGTCTCGTCCTGGGTAAGTATTGAGTTGTTGCTCATATTGTTTAGTGAAAGTTAAGACAGATGGTTGCCTATCTGAGGGCACAGTGGTGTGCAGATACACAAATCCATCTTCATTAACTCGTACAACATTGTCTTGTCTCGTGAGCAGTTTAAAGTGTGCTAAAAATGTTGCTAATATGTAAATCAAACCATATTTTTACAGACATTCATATTTGAGTTGTAATTCTCTCTCACTGCAAACAGGTCAAATCTTTACACACAAAATTTAAAAACACCGGAACAAATGCAAGCTTCAGTTAGTCAAATTTTCTAACACTACCATTTTTTAATCACTTTAAGAACCTATTTTTAGATATATTTGTTTCTTTCAAGTTGCTAAAATTGCATTTCAACCACATATTCCATTATCGACCTATGAAAAAAAGCTTGTCTTACAAAGTAATTAGGTTACTAGATATAAATTAACAAGTGCAGATTTCTCAGAAGCAGGCAATAAGCAGGGGGACATCAGAGTTTCTTCTCAAGGTTGCAAGAAGGCACACACTGTGCCTTCTGGGTGTAATTTGCTTGCGACAATATGAGCAACAATTATTCTATGTGGTTACATTGAACTACTGCTTTGCTACAGTGAGTTTAGAGTCCTCAAAATGCAACTTCAAGAAAGATGCATGGAAGGCAATGCACTCTCTTCTCCTCTACAAGGAAAGCAGAGTTTATTGTGTTTTCCTTGATAGGGGTGGTGTCCCCTCTTACTCATTCCAGTGGAGCAGATGCAGAGTGAGTGGTTGAAAAGGGAGAAGAGGAGCTGATGAGCTCATGAAGTCAAAACAAAATGTAACATTTCCAGAATTGGAATCGAGACTTGAACTAAAAGCAGCAGACCGCACAAACGGAGCTGCAGCTCCTGCGTCAGAACCTATTGCACAGGTTTGGGTGTCTGCAGGCTGCAAGCCAAGGGAGCCGACGCCTCTCATCACAAGGGGCCGGGATCGTTGCGGTAGTTGCAGTGGTTGCCGTGCTCAGCGTCTGCAATCTGCAGGCTCGGCTTCCTCTCCAGCTCCTCGCCGCTCCCCGCGTCTGGGCTTGTGCCATGTGCATGGCGCTCCTTGAAGAAGTCGGACACAAAGCCAACCTGCAGCGCGAGGCGGGAGGAAGGAGATCAGGCTGTGAGACTGTCGGTCATTTAGGAGGCATTTTTCTCAGTGAGGGTGAAAAATAAAATGGCAAGGCTGGAAATTGTGATTACATCTGTTTGGAAAGGTCTGTGCAGTGCTGAGTGACACGCCAACACTTCTGCGACTCATGTATGAGAGGAACTCACAGAGAGCACGGCTAACTTCTGAAGGTATAAAATATTGCCTCACATCGTCTGTTTTTGCACGCAAGGAAGTGGAGGCCAGAGACATGCATTAAGGCTACAATTAATCAAATATGCATAAACTGTGCCTCTTCACAATTTCAACCAGCTGGTTGAAGCGACTAGAATGAACACACCAGCAGGGAATCGTGACACACTATTGATGTTTTACACTCCTTCAACTACCAAGTCACTGTCGACATTTAATGAAGCTAAAAAAACGCTTCATCAGTGACTTTCAGCACTGGAATGAGTATTATTAACAGTAAGAGTTCCATTAAACATCTCACCCTGTTTGGTTTTCCAATCATATATTCCCCACTGTGGTGAGATTTAATGTTAAGGTGTCATTAGGCGAGGTTGAAGTCACATCAAACCAGACAAAATGTCAAAATGCGAGCATGTTTTAAGCAACCCAAACAAGATCAAAGACGCCCCCGAGCAGGGTCCAGTTGAGTTATTAGCTGCCTTTTTGGGAAGTCTGGCGTGTTACTGTGTTTGCCTTAATAAGACGTCGTCTAGGAGACTCACGTTGAGCACGGCAACAAGCGCTCCCTGCAGCAGCCCCACCACCACGTCGCTCCAATGGTGCTTGTAATCAGAGACTCGGGTGTAACCCACGTACACCGCGAAGGCCACCAGGAAGAACTGGATGGTGGGCCGCAAAAGTCTGGCCCACTTGGCCGCGAGTCTGGCCTGCACGTACAGCTGTGATGGAAGAATAAATGGAGGGAAAGACCAGTTAGCAAATCCGAACAACAGGAAAGACATTATACAAAACAGCTTGGATATTTATTTTGATTTGCCCGATTCACTCTGACCCGAAAGAATTGCCATCTTCCGATGTTGCAGTAATGCAAGTCTTAGTTTGGACCCTGCTTCAGCACAGCTGAATAAATGGTTCAAATTACTCCTCAGAATGTCTGCAAGGTCTGCAGAGCAACTCATTTGATTCAGGTATGTGAAACCAGCTCGTGAGGATTGGAATTAGCCATATCTGACCTATAGATGTGATGAAACAGGTCCTTCTGTGCTCCATCAATACCTTGTATGACATTTCTTTGTGTGTTGTTTTTGTTTCTCGTCTTTATTTTTATGCATTTGACACACGGTTTGCCAGTGGAGCTAGAGATTGAAATTCGCCTCCCATCAATAAATCACTTACTGTAGTTTTTAAGTGGATGTCATGTGGGCACAAAAAAGTCAATTATGTGAAAAATGTCTGTGTGCCTGCTTCAAAAGTTAAACAGACTAATACCAAAACACGTGTTGAACACAAATATAATTTATATCCACTGTGGATGAAAAAAAAACTGTAAGTGCAGGAGCCTTTTTGAAGGAAACAGTGGAAGCCAAAAAATATATGAATCTGGCAGCTGCATAGTTTCTTCTCAGCTGCTGTTGAAGGTGTAATAACTGGCGTCACACTAGCGTCCTCCTGCCACAAGGCCATACTTTACACCATAGAACACTTTTTAAAACACAGCCCACAGGAGACAAATACGATGTGACTGCTCAGCTCTGTTCTTTCTGTCTGGAAGTTCGTCAGGTTTTGCTTGGTCGAAAACAGCACAACACCAATCCTTTGGCAAACATCCGGCTTGAGACCTTCTGCCCGCTACAGATTTTGATAGATTTAAAAGATGTACAGCTAAAAATAAAAGCTCTGCATAGCTGTTTGCAGCTGGCCTCACTTTCTCAAAAACAACAAATTTCTAATGCTACTATGAAGGATTTGTCGATGCCTGTGATAGGGAATATTAAGGCGATGAAATATGGAAAATGTGGACAGCTTGCTTTTGGGGTGAGTGGGAACGCGCAGAATGTGATGTTGTTTACATGGAGGCTGGGCGGCAGCGCCATTAGCCGAGCAGAGCTTAGAGCTGACCTTCAGGAAACAGCCACAGCAGCTATCTTGCTTTGGTTTGTCCACTGGATAACAAGGTGGATTATTTACAGCTGCAAGTAAACGGGCAGCATGTTCTCCTGCAGACGTAAGAGACTGCAATGCAAATGTGATCAGGTGGACATAAGTGGATGTCATGTGGGCACAAAAAGCTGACAGCTGACAGCCAATACCCTTTCATTTATGTGACAAATTGGTCAGTCTGCCTTAAGTCTTGATTTTCAACCCGGTGCAGTAAGGAAAGTAGGGGACACTGTCTCCACTCATTGACCTCCTTGCCTTATTTGTTTTTGGGTTGTTTTTGTTTTATGTCTACTTATTTATTTATTTTTTTTATCTGGGTCCAGGGGACTTTTCTACCGTTCAACAATTGTCCATTGATAAGACATCTGCAAACACGAGCGTCTGGGGACTGGAATGCCCGTTCCTGAAGCAGGTGTTTGCAGTCTGGCACTGAAAGCAGAGATATGTCTGCACTGCTTTCAAAAACTCAAGGCTGCACTTACCGCCAGGAAGAGCATGCAGTACATTCCAAAGGAGGAGTGTCCAGAGTAAAAAGATAATCTGTGGAAAAAAAAGAGAAAATTTAATTAATCTTCTAGAGAGTTTATTGTTTATATCTTTCAGATTATTCTTCCATTTTTCTGCACATTCTTTGTCATACATAGGCATTGTGAATTCAGTTACAAATTCTTAAGATAGGCAGAACCTCAATATGCTATTAGGCTTTAAAAGATTGGAGTGATATTGAAACCTGAAGAACTATATAAAAGTATGACGTAAATATGCCTGTCATATTTGGAAGATGAAATGGGAATTGGGAAGTGAACAGGTTTAGTTTGTAAACTTCTTCTAAAACCCGTTCAATCACCCATTCATACAGTCTTATACTTGGTCTTTATTGCCCACTGCCTCCTCCCAGTTATGATAGAAAGTACAGTCATAGTTGTTGTCCTACCTTGACTCTGTGACTTCATGTGACGGGCCTGTGCAGTTGATTTCCAGCATGTATCCTGTGCAGTTCTTCGGCGCGCACACGGCCATAAAGTTAGGCCTCGGACGGCCGATCGTGAACTTGGCGATGTCTGTGAGCGACTGGCTGACAGTTGCGCCAAACACAAAGGTTCCCACCACCTTGTAGAGTGCTGCTAGGTACTGATTAAACTTTGAATTTGAGTAAATTATCTTTTTGTGGACTAGATAGGCTTCTCCAGAGGAGATCTGTGGAAAAGTAAAAAAAAAAAAAAAAAAAAAAAAAAAAACATATTTCATTCAATTGGAACAATTTGTACTTTTTTTATATTCACATTATTTCCTCAGCTCACCATATCAGCTGATTAAGCATCACCAGATGTTTTTAAATGACTGTTTATTTTGTGTCAATTTGAGGAAACACTTACAATAATGACAGTGCAGGTGATGGTCATAACTCCCATCATGCTGTGGGAAATGGTGTCCGGTTTGAGCGGGTACTTGATGCTCTCGTCGTCACAATGAATCCCCCGTTGATAAGGCTTGAACCTAATGGTCAAAATGATGGAGGGCAGGGATGCTGAAATATAATCAGAACAATAGAACAGCAGATTAGGAAACATATTTTGGATAACGGTCATTTCTGGAATAAGACGGCTCCATTTTGCTGCATTGCACAAAGTGGATAGAATGATGAAATGGGATGTATTGATCCAAATACTTGAATGTCACTTAAACAATTAATGACTGTCAAACAAATTAGTGTTCCAAACATCAACAATTCCAAATTAGGGCTGTGGATTAACCCAGGCCTAATCCCTACTAAGTGTTTATGGGCTGCACTTAAAAGCAAGCTCCATACCAGGAAACCTACTGATTTAAAATGATATTAGAGATGGATTGGCCATGAAAACCAGAGTAGATTTTATCCGGTTTCAATTTTTAAAAGGAAAATGTCAAGAATTGAGTATTTTTTTTCATTCTCATTTCTACAAGCTGTCAGACATAGCATCCCTTATGTGCTGGGGGAACAAGAAATATTTAGTTGAGTCTCTGACTGTTTACTTGTATTCCTTCTTGCAAAGCTTTTGCTTTTGAAATAAATCAATTAAAAAAAAGAGACAAGGAGGGTGAAAAAAAAGAGCATAATTCTGGTAAATGTTAGGTTGAAATGTTGAAAATAAACAGAGGGGAAAATATTTCTATCATCAGTTGGGTGTGTCTATAGTGAAAGAAAAAAAATGGTTCTGAAAAGTCCCAAAACACTACAATTTCCAAATGCTTTAGTGGCGTCTAAAAATAACACAAAGTAACAAGCATGATGTCATTGAGTCGTTCAGAAACATCCACCCCCCACCCCAAAAAAACACATCAGCTCTAATGTACATCCATATTCGTTTTCTGCTTTTCATCACCACAATCTATTACAGCTGCCAGGAATTATAACTGCTGCTAGTCTAATGCTGTATCCTTCCTCAAGGTTACAAGACGGAGTTGTACGACTAGAGGAGGATCCCAAAAGTATGCGGGTGAAAGGTCTCAACCTCAACAACTCCAAAGACAGAAATTATTTATCCGACCTTGGTCTTTAAGGAAGTAGGGTTGTTTTCTGTACTTTACCTCTTTAGAAATTCCTGGTTTTAAGAACCCATTTTATTTTGTGGAATATTGTTGACATTTTCGATTTTCGTTACAATAGTCAGAGCGAAGCTCCTGAAGGTCTTAGCCCTTCATAGGAATGCAATTCTCCACTCCAACATCTACCACCGAGGTAGTGTTGGGGCCACTGGAAACACCAGGCAGCTGCGTATTAAATGAAAGAAAAATAGCAACGAAGAAGCACTGGCTGAAATGGGGAAGTGCACTTGCCAACGGTATTATGTTTCTTTGTAAATTCGTGGAGCGTACCCCTCCCATTCCTCAGAAAAATGTCTGCAGCTGACATAATTCCAGCGAGTCTTCCAGTGAGACTGACTGATGAGAAACTTTGAGGAGAAACGCCGAAAGGAAAATACAGTAAAGTGAAGCTTTCTGTGTTTAACTCCACTTCAAATGATGAATGGGTGGGTGAACAGTCCAACAAAAATAAAAAAGGAAGACGTAATAGTTTTTACGATCACGGAGCCTTAACTTAGGTAGAGGAATCTTGAAAGGCAGAGTACACAAATCTACCGAACTCTATCATACGATCATTCAAAAATCCAACATTAGTTTCAACTTTAGCACACCAGAGAAAAGCTGCGATTGTGAAAATATGAATTAGGTTTTGGATAGCTAGCCATCTGTAATATCTGTGAGCTGCGCAAAACCAAGTCAGAGAAAGCATAAAATGTGGAAGAAGCCACCAAAAGGAAACTGAAGTTGATCAATGACTCATTTATTGACGTGCTTCACCAGAAAAACCTGTTGAATTGCTTTTAAGAAAGCAAGCAGCGAATCAGCCAGTCATACGGTTTACCAAACCAAGTAATAATCAGCAAGAAGGGAGAATCTAGGGATTTACAATGCCAAATGAACTAGTCTAAGTATTTCATAAACCGTTGATCTGGGATATTAATTAATAATCATTGCTTGACTTTAGAGAGTGGTATGAAAAAGAGAAAATATCTGCTGAGTGGCAGGTGAGCAGAGAACGTTCTTGTTGATATCAGAGGAAAACATTGTCTGATGTGACGAGACTCTAAAGATTCAGACGGTAGAGTCAGAATGTGATGTGAACTGCAGCCTGCTCTGTGTTTCTTTAAACACCACAGCCATCCGGAGTGTGAATGCTGACCACTTCCATCCACTTATGCCCACAGCAGATGAGGGCATCCTTCAAGTCAGAGCTTCCTTGCCAACCCTAACCTCATAATTCAATATAACTACCACACATAACAAAAAGCAGTGGCAGCTGCAGCAATTAACAACTTATTTGCACTTGTAAAGTTGAGAAAAATCCCACTGGTTTCCTAATTTGCCACTTCAATACAACTGGGTTGCGCTTCTCTTTAGTGATATATTAAGAAATGAAGCTGCAGCACATGAGGCTTAATTAGAGCGGTGTGAATTGTCTTTTATTTTTATTTGAAGAGTTTGCTGCTGTTTTACTGCAGTGTTTAAAATGAAACACTGCAGCCGTATTTATATAAAAACCAAAAAGCTATTAGAGATGTTACTCAATAAAATAGTTTTAATATTTTCTGTAGGTGCCCAATATACAAAAGGCCTTCGATGCATCAGCCCCTGATTTGTCCTGTTATGACTCGTCACCGTCTTTTCCATTTCAGGGAGAGACAAAAGGATAAAAAAAGATTTAAATAGAAGACTTGTTTGTTTCGCATCAAAAATGGATTCCAAGAGCTGCTAATGCATTTTTTGGAGAATATTGTTCTCCTCATTGTTATTGTGGAGAACAATTACAAAAAGCTTTAAAGATAACGCTTCCTGTTGAATTGATGCTGATGGACTTTTTCTCCGGGGACAAAAAAATTGCGGAAAGCCACAGACAGTTATTTGCCCATTTCCTTTTACAGTCCTTTTACAGCAATTAGTCAAAAGCTAGTTTTAGAAAAACAGGATATTAGAAAGTTCCTCTCTGGTTCGTCACACATTACAAGTGCAATCATGGATAGATTTAGTAATAATAAAAAAGCCACAGATTGAGGCTTTAGTTGGATGTTTTGCATTTCCACACTACAGGAGAAGAGCAGGGTCATCATTTCTCTCTTACATCATCAAGACAAAATACAGAAGAAGCTTTTTGCTGCTAACAGAACAAATACAGTGCTTAACAGAATGAAAGGCACAAAACTATAACTGAATTCTAGAATAGCTGAGCTTATAAAATAGTAAAATACTCATATTTCTATCTCTCACAGCCTCTTAATCTTGTTTAGACATGCAGGGAGGTTGGAGCTGAGAGGAACATGCAAAGAAAAGTTTGGACTGGGATTAAGCACAAGCATTTCTTGTTTCACTGATAACCGTCTAACCACCATTCGACACTCAAATCTAATATGCCAGCAAAGAAACAAGAACCACTCAATTAAGTCTGCATGCATCTGAAACTCCATATTGCTGCTTCATTTTTAAACCAACCACACTTTCTTGCAAACGGCAGCTGCAACATCGACCACCTACAGCAATACCAGACCTGCAACCCGGTTTGCACATTTACCAGCCATGTTGTAGATGTGTGACTGTGAGGTTGTAAATTTCCCAAAACTTTCCTCATGGAACCAGTAAAATGCTGTCTCAAACAACCACATCCCAATGTTTAGTCAAGTCTGCAGTATTTAGCTAAGCCCCTTTCTCAGGCACAGCAGGAGGGAACCTTGATGTAAATTTTACTGATGTGGCTTTTGGAAGGCGGCTCGTTGATTTGCATCCTGCAGCCTGTTTCCAGCTGGAAGGAGCAGAGAAAGCCATAAAGAAGATTAGCTCATTTTCTTGTGCAAAGTTTCACATCAGATGAAATGTATTCCAAATGATGATGTTATGACAGTAACTGTATGTGATCTAGTTTCACAGTGTTTCAGCAAAATGGCAGTGTTCAGAAATGAATAAAGTGCTCCAGGTACCTCTGGAAAACAAATGTAAACACCCTTAAAACGAATTGAGTAGAACTCCCAGTGACTTGCTTAGTTGCTTTAAACTTTCATAATGACTCGAATCATAAAAATAGGAATGTTTAGGTGAGCACATATAGCCTTGAAGACAAGACTAAAACATAAACGAGTCTCTATTATGCACACAAATCAAACTAAAAGTGATTAAATGCTTTTTAAAACGTCCAAGACGTGCTGATCATCTCAAAAACGTGTAAACAAAAATGGATATTATACATGATAACCATCATTTGTAATCATGAGATGCTTTACTTTCCCATATTAAAGTATAATTAGTACTTTATAGTGCAATAAAGTTAACGTTTTTCATGTGTAAATGAATAAATAAACAGCAACAAAACAACTGAACTAAAACTTCGATACTGAGAGAAAGGTAGAATGACTCACATTTTCCCCTTCTGCTTTCAATAAACTGTTCAGAGCAACAGAAACAGAAAATTTGTAAAATTTGTTACTTGAAATATTCCCCACAAGCCACTTTTGTGTTTCCAAATTCCATGTATTACAAAGTCAACACACTCTTCAACCTTCAAAAGGTATATAGCTGCAAAAACTACACATATCGTTTGAAAAGTTACCCAAATTTATTCGGATTTCAGCTTGTAATTTATTGCCAAGAATTTTTATAATAAAATAATCTCACCAATTTCATGTGAGGGCAAAGCAATAGGGCAAAGCTATTTGGACATGCATATGCATATTACATGAATCGTTTTTAATCAGTGGTACGCCACCCACATTAGGTAAGCGAGTTTTGCACTGAACTCGCTTACCAGCAATTGTGCAGTAATTTACTTCAGTTTTCTCTGCTCCAGCACATCATGAACCGTGTTTTATGAACCTGCTATGAAAGTTCCAACAATTCACCCAGAACATACACGTGTTTATCATTTACCTTTTAAAAGGATTTTGTTACTCGTAAATCTTCAGTAAACATCCTCTGGTTCTGATGAGAATCGTTGCCAACGGA